AGGATCCCGAGTTTTTTTCTTACAGTTGCATGCTTAGGATAATGAAAGCTAATGATCCCAATCTTTAAATTAGTGCTATTACATTACAAGGCATGAGAATAAAGCATTATTTCCCCCTATAAAGGAATGGAGTTATCTGCATCTATGCCTCTTATGACGTCACGTTTAGCCACACCCGCCGACAGGAAGTAAATTGAAAGGAAGCAAAAAGTGCATTTTTGAAGGCTCATATCTCAGTGAATAAATTTTTTTAGACAATAGGAGTTGGAACACATCATTATTATGGTCAGGCAATCATATTAAGACCATAAAATAAATACCCTAAAAAATCACTGCAGTTACACTTTAATGGAGCTATAGCAAACTTGAGATAACAACTAAGAGCTGGTTGCCTTGATAAATCAACACAATGCTGTATTTCTAATGTTAGCTGTTTCAGGAGAGGCTTTGAGAGTGATACTGCATACACAGCACTGACAAGGATGGTATTAGGAGGAAACTGGAACTGTCCTCCTACAAGAGCAATTACTGCTACTTCTACTGTCTGTAAGGGTGATAAGCTACAGTCTTCTATACTGATTCTCAAACCAAAATCCTCCCAGTTTATCAACTGTGGCTTGTCTCCTTGAATTGAGAATATCTTCTTCTCTGCTATCTGGAAATCACTCAAAGAGTTCAAATTATCTGTTACGTGTAACATTATAATTAAAGCACAATGTAATCTTACCCATGTAATCAAACTGTACTCCAACATCTTTAAAAGATTTTACCTGCTTCTTGATTTTGGCTATTGTCTCATCTTTTTCAACAGGATCACCTTTTAAATGTTGAATTGTAGATGTATCTCCTTGTAATTTGTAATAACCTAATCATAAATTGTGAAAAATTATCATAAAAACAATTCGCATAAAATGTTACAATAAAGGGATAAGCATAACAATAAGTCAAAGAGCCATGCATTTTGCTCAAGCCAAGTCAAATATTGAAAGCCCAAAGGCATCAAAACATTGTATGATTAACACAAATGCTGAGTACTAAGTTTTATAAAATGCTGATATATCACAATAATGATAAAAAGTTCCAAACAAACTAACCTTTGATTTGACTGTTAGCAATTTGTTGCATTCTATCAGCATCTGATTTATCAGCTAAATCTATCAACTGAAACTTTGATAAAAATTGTCTCTTCCCATCTTTATTCTTTTCTTCCCAGGTAAGTATCATTTGCATGAAGACCTTCCAGTCTTTCCAGTCTTTATCTGAGGTCGTTCCCATAAATTCATTATAAACAGCTTTGGCTCCTTCAGCCGATAGTTCAGTCAATTTTTCTGATATGATAGAAGCATCTTCTGATGAGAAAGAGTCTATACAAAATATAATTGTAGGATACATTTATATAAAAGCTACTGGCCTACCTCCATTAAGCCTTTTCTTGACAGCAACTTTATGCTAAACAAGAA